CCCCCCCCCCCCCCCCCTTCCATCCCCTTCATGGAACTAGATTCTAATAAAACCAAAAAGCCACCAGCTCATCATCTCGTCTTATAATATTAAAAGTCTACCAATATCTTGTCTGGACGAGGAAAAGATGAAAGACACGAAACCTACCAAAATTCACAGATAATTAATCATAATAATGTAAAATTGACACCAAAATCTAATTTTTATTACCAAAAATCTGAGAAAATTTCTCATGAAAATGTTTGATTTTGTGATTTTTATGGCCTATAATAGGTAATAAGTGTTTATTTATTGTTATATACTGTTTGTAGAGTTGTAAACATCGATTTAATACAATCTAATACAATGTACAACAATTTGATACAATTAAATACAATTATTTATAATAAACACCTACAGTGTTGTACAATGTATTAGTATGTAGATATAAGTAATACTTAGTTTTATAGTATACCATATAAACTGTGTTTTAACTATGTGAATATAATAGATTTAAAGAGGCTTGTCCAGATGGAAATCAAAGTAATAAATATTCAGTCTTAATGTACTGTTTTCAAAATATAAACAAAAAAATTGCTCCGTCTCTTTTTGTGTTTGGTCAACCTAAAAAATCAGACCTGTAGTCAGACTTGATTATCTGTTTGGGCAAGTAATATATCTGGAGAGACAATGGTGTATAGTGTTTAGTTACAGTAATGGAATTGGTGGGTTGTCAGAAATTCTTTCACCAGGGCAATCCATTTTTTTAGCTTCCCAGTTCATACAGGCTGGCATAGAATGGACAAAAATTGCTCATGAAAGTCTAAAATATTGTAGATAGTTAGCTGGGATGGTATCTTTAAACCAGGGCTATAATATATAATCTAGTATAAATAAATGAAAGTTTTTATTAGTAGATACAATATAGTTATACAATATACAACAATGTATCATTTAGTAATAAACAGTTTACATCATTTCTTACTAACAATACTAATAGTTTTAATGTATATCTCTTTATAGCCTTGTGAACACTCTATACATGTTGTAAACTAGGTTGGTGTAACCTGCCTTATGTACCTATAAAGCTGCGCTCACACTATAACGATTACCAGTTGTGTATTTGCAATGAATGAAAGTGGCCATGAGTTGAACTGTGTTGAATGAGACCTGAATATGACTGCTATTCTAATTCACAAACATACTCAACTGGTGATCACTGTTGTGTGAGAGCACCTTAAGTTCTACTGGGTCAAAAAGACTTTTTGAAATTCAGAACTTTTAAAATTGTATAAACTCTCTTATGAATTGTATTATCTTGCTTTTTGCTTTTTCTGATTTTTTGGCCCCCTTCTATCTGCTGTTAGTTTATAATATTTTGTAAATGAAATCCCTTAGTATGCGAAGGGCAGCTGGCTTTTCAAACCAACCCTTAAGTCTTCTAAAGACATTGTAAACTCTCCAGAGGAGAGAAACTGATCTGTTTATGATACCCAATAACTTTCTATTATATTTTATAACCATGTGAACACCCTAGAACAGTGTTAAAGCTTGTGAACATCTTAAAGCATCATTGTTAACATCTATAGATCAAAGGGCATGCAATGATTTTTCCATTACCCCAGGGAAATCCACTGATATTTGTTTATTTTACTTTGATTTTTAAATCAATACAGACAGACTAATTTCAATCTCAGATTTATGGTGTCTAAAATGAGGCTGGCCCAGCATTTTGAATTTTTCGAGGCATTTTAAAACGTGTTTAATTTAAATCATAGCCTTTGCCTATCTTTTTTATTTAAAAATAGCAAAAATACATTTCAGGATAAGTTACTGCATGTATAAGTTTAACCTTGGGTTGACAATTTATCAGGATATTTTGATTAGAATCTATTACTGCTAAAAATAAGCACAAATTCACAATTTGATGTTATTTTAGAAATTTATTCGATTTCTTTTATCATTGTTCAATATTTATCAGTACTTGATATTATCTATCATTGCTAAATAAATAGCAATACTTCACAGTTTGTTATTTTGGCAATTTCTTTAATCTTTACTCAGAATGTAGCATTAATTAATTTACTACTGAAATTGTGATGAATTGATGAAAATTTCAATCTATTGTTTTGATTGGAATTAATTCTATAATAGTCTTTATCTATTTCTAGTTGAAACTTCAGTAGTATTTTATAATATAACTACTTGAATTTTGACAAGTTTTTGATGAATTGATCTAAGTTTCAATCCAGTGTTTTAATAACAATTAATTTTATCATCTGATTTTTTGAATTTGATAATTACTCACTGATGATAACTATATTGTCATGCTGTTACTGTCATTTCTTATTTTTTGAGCAAATTTAACACATCTTAGTAAATTTTGCAAGGTTTTTGATAAAATTTTAATTTATTATTTGATTAGTTTTATCTTGATTATTAATTTGTGGTTAATTGTTGTGTATATTTACCAGTTATTGCCCTTGATTTACAAATTAACACTACTTATATAATAACAATATTTACATAGTTTATAGGAAAGAATTGGTCCTTGCCTTGGAAATGATTACTCCTGATTATATTATACAGATACCCATACAATGTCTGCAAGGGGACAATGGGCTCCTGAGAGGGGATAGGTGAAATTTATTTTCAATTTTCAAAGTTGCAATGGAAATGATTATATTATGCAAATACCCATACACTGTCTGCAATGGGGCAAATTAGCTCGAGAGAGGGGTTGGGAATTAATGTATTTCTTATTTTTGAGAGTTAGTAGAACCATGAACATATATATTTGCAATGCTTAAGTTCATAGAAAAGCCAGAAAGTGAACTTCAAGTCATCACCACCCTCGTTCAAATCCTTCTAGCCTATAACTTTGCCTAAGACTATCACGCAAGACAGAGAAGACTGTAAAAGAGAGTAGTTCTTTGATAGGCCTACCTATATTTTTCAATCGTAATTATTTCAGGTGTAAAATGGAAGTTTCATGATGATTGACAGGTGAAATATAGTGTAAACATGGCAACAGAAGATCGTGACAGCGTTATAGCTAAAGAGTTAGAGGACATCCAGTCTAGAGTGCCCTCTATTGATGGTTTGAAATTGATAGCGTGTGTACCTATGTTGGTTCAGGCTAGCATTACGTAAGTCTTTTCAAATAATATAACCTTCTTCTTCACCACTAGTGTTATGTTTGGCCAAAAAATGAGGAAGAAATCTGTGGGAGCTGTCACCAACTCTGGCTCAACACTCTCGAATTTCTTATTAACCAGTGATTAAATGACTTGTGATGTTTGACAGTTCTGTGGCCCCTGCTTGCCATTAGAGAGTGAAACCTCAAAATCTGTAGCATGTAAAGGGAGATAACTCTTATTAAAGTTTCCAGTTCTGTTGATTTACTCGATTAACGTATATCAATTTGATTCGCTGCTACAATAAATGCGCTAATTACCATAATCAAATTTGATTTGATACAATATAAATTCGACTCTGTTACACCCCAGTAGTATGTAAAGGGGGATAACTCTTATTAAAGTAGAATTTTATCAGACCACTATTATTTGAATTATCCTTGTAATATTATTCAATTTGAAACCTGGTCAGATCCAGAATTTTAAAAATCAAAATCTGTTTTACTCCAGCAGTTGACAGTTCTGTGGCCCCTATTTGCCATTAGAGAATGAAACCTAATAACTAGAGGCATTTTTACGCACAAATCTGATTTATACTGCAGGATAAATTAACATTATACTATTTATAGTTTCCAAGATGGTGGCAAGGCAGGAAGAAATTACCCTGCACGTAATGGTTTTGACATGTTGGACGCCATTATTAAAGCGGAAGTTAACAGAGCTTTGACGTTCCAACTCTTATTAAAGTTGATTTTTATCAGACCACTATTGTTTGAATTATCCTGAAAGCCAATTCTTGTAATATTTCATTCAATTTGTTAGTGGTTTTTCTATAAAAATTATTTTGATGCAAATGATGTATTGATTGATTGATGTATATTAAGAATGAATCGATTTAATCCTAATAAGGCATTATTTATATTACTGCGAGATTCATTTGAATAATGGTGAATTACAATAAAGGGGAAATAACTCCATTTAATTTTTAGATCATATTCTTAGTACAAATACTAAACTAGATAAAAGTCTAGATATTGATAAATCTGATTAGAGAATAAAATTGAATTTAAAATATATTTTATTGATTGATTCATCTTAATAAGACTAAAACACTTAAATTTTTACAAGTAAAGTTGAGTTTTCGAAAATAGACCTGGATAAAATTTGTCTGTTCTTTTTGAATGAAAACTGAAACTTGGGTAGATTCAGAGTTCTTGTTATATTATTTCAATGAGAATGAATGAAAAAGGACTCTGATTTTATTTGAAAACTACACATTGATAATTTTGAACTGTTTTCATTGCTACTGGACAGATTTGATAATAGTGATCTACAGCTAAAGGGGAATAACTCTATATTTGAAAACCACATTGTTATAAAATTTTGTATTTTTTCTATTATAGTAAAAATGAGTTTAAACAAGTAACAGCCAATATACAGTTTCCTCCACGCTACCCTCACGAACCAATCATGATACAGATGAAATCTCGCCGTCTGGAACAAAAATTTACTGATAAATTGGAGAAAATCTGTGAGGACGAAGCAAAGAAATGGATCGGGGCAAGACAGGTAGGGTATGATGGGATATCTTAGCTTTTGAGGAGGGGTTGTAGCACAACTAGTTACAGTGTTTGAATATTTACATGACATCATTTGTTTGGTTACGTCAAACAAATGGTGGTCGTGGGTTCTCTTCATAGTTGGCATGTGAGAGTCTGGTGACCTTGAATGACAGCGTTTAGAGAAAAGCTGCTATAGATATCTAAGGGGTTCAACAGTAGTGCTGTGGTTTTCAACCTGTTTTTGTATGTGTCCCCAAATTGAATCAGCATGAAACTGATGTCCCCAAATATCGAAAGCATAACTATGATTGGATACCAGACACTTCTCATGTTGTTTGGTAGTAATAATTCTCTGAGTACTCCTAGACAATGTTAATTTAGGCTGTGTATAGTGTAGTCATCATATGAGATGTTATATATATTGTAGTTCGAAAGTTTTTATTTTATCTTAGCCTGTGACATCAAATGTCCCCAAAGAAAAGTGCAAATGTCTCCACCTTGGGACATTTCCCTGTGGTTGAAAAGAATGGTGCAAATTGATTCTATTAGTGTCCCCGATATGGGTAAAAAGATATGAAGAGGCCTTTTTATAACTTGACTTGTCTTTGCAAGTGCTAGTAATACACAAGTTTAATCATTTCTATCAGTGTTGCCAATACACGTAAAACATTTAGGAAACTTCTTTACAACCCCTTAAATCTTGACTTGTCTTTCCAGGTGTTGGTAATACTCAAGTTTATTCGGACGTTTTTAGAGGAGAATTCTCTGTGTGTTTGCAGTGAGGAAATAGTGTATATAAAACGTGAACTCATTAAGGACTCAGATGAGATTAAACTCAAACAAAAAACTTCTCAAATATTTTTGAAGATTAACCAGAATAATTATTTTATGAATCTAACAGTCGAGGTTCCTGATATATACCCTAAACAACAAATCAAGTAGGTACCATTTTTATACCCCATATCTCTATAAAGAATAAGTAGATATATAGATATACTATTTAATACCTTCTGGAAGGCAATCGATAATCCTGCACCGTAAAGCCTATCTTGTCTATACCCACAGCCCCGTGTTAGGGTGGGGTCCGTGGGGGCTGGGTCCCAACAAGTGAGAATTAAGCCCCAGCAAAACCTTCTTCAGTTCATCAGAGATTGATTCATTTACAGTCGATTTTATACAAAATCAAAAAGATATAGATTTTGATATGTTTTTGCACTTCAAAATTATCAGAAATGAGTTCTCTAGGCCTTTAATTCTTGAAATTTTCTGAGTACAAAATCTGAGCTCCAGCACCAATTTATTCCTGGCAACAGGGCTGATTCCCACCACAAGATATATGAATATTATATCCTCATATCTCTGTAAAGAATAACTAGATGTATGAATATACTATTTCTGACATTTATTAACTCAATGTTTCACATGTTCATACAGGCAGCTTTATCTTGAGAACTCTGTCTGTATGAACATGTGATATGTTGAGTTTTTAAAAAGTTTATCTCTAAACTGTGTGTTTCAAATCTCATCAACTTTTATTTTCAGAATAGAATTGACTGAGACAAACTTTCCTGATTTGTTACGTGTAAATTTTATTGCTCAGGCGAAGGAACTGGCTAGACAGTGTGTTACTCCACCTTTACTTAAAAACACCAAGTAAGTTTATCTTGTTGTATCTTCTAGTGTGGCTCAGTGTGCTAGACGCTTGACCTCTAACCTAAAGTTCTCGAATACGATCTGTGAATCTACCAAGATTATATATTTTCAAACTGGTTTCCTTGTGTCAGTGATGACAGTTGGAGGGGCTGACATGGATAATATGTTTATTAATAAGAATTGAGGTGTGAAATTGAAAACTGACACTGTCATGATGAAATATCCCTCATCGCATTCTGCATGGCGTTGCCTGTCTTCAAAAGCCCAACTATATCAGAAAAGTAAGATGTAAAGCTGACTTCATGCCGCTTTAAATTTCACTCACTGCCTACTGCACTGTTTCTATACAAAATCACTCTGGATTTATTTTTCTTTTCTTTTTTTGACCAAATAGTTTTATATTCTAATCGTCAATGGGTTGTAATGGGTTGTTTTATTTATATTTTTTAGAGGAAGTCAGCCGTTTGAAGTGAAACCTTCGTTAAAAGTTGTGTGTAATTATCTAATTAAAGATTGTGTAAAGCGTTATCCTCTAGAAAACTGTCCTATTTGTAAATCTTTTGTTTTAGCTGAAGATCCCAAGGTAACAGTTTAATGTTTATATTCATCACATAAAAAAACTTTAAAAAAAAATTTCATGATAAAAGTCGGTCTGTCGTATGAAAAACTGATCGAAAAATGCAAATTTTGTAGAAAAATTTCCTCACTGGTAGAGGATTGAATTTTGAAAAATTTGAATATAAGTAACTTTGTTAAAACTTTTTCCCCTGATTGAGTCAATATTCTCCCTGTCAGATGATAGAGAAACAATGTTCTCCCTGTCAGATGATAGAGAAACAATGTTCTCCCTGTCAGATGATAGAGAAACAATGTTCTCCCTGTCAGATGATAGAGAAACAATGTTCTCCCTGTCAGATGATAGAGAAACAATGTTCTCCCTGTCAGATGATAGAGTCAATGTTCTCCCTGTCGGATGATAGAGAAACAATGTTCTCCCTGTCAGATGATAGAGTCAATGTTCTCCCTGTCAGATGATAGAGAAACAATGTTCTCCCTGTCAGATGATAGAGAAACAATGTTCTCCCTGTCAGGTGATAGAGAAACAATGTTCTCCCTGTCAGATGATACAGAAACAATGTTCTCCCTGTCAGATGATAGAGTCAATGTTCTCCCTGTCAGATGATAGAGTCAATGTTCTCCTTGTCAGATGATATAGAAACAATGTTTTCCCTGTCGGATGATAGAGAAACAATGTTCTCCCTGTCAGATGATAGAGTCAATGTTCTCCCTGTCAGATGATAGAGAAACAATGTTCTCCCTGTCAGATGATAGAGAAACAATGTTCTCCCTGTCAGATGATAGAGAAACAATGTTCTCCCTGTCAGATGATAGAGAAACAATGTTCTCCCTGTCAGATGATACAGAAACAATGTTCTCCCTGTCAGATGATAGAGAAACAACTGAAACTGCCATATTTGGTCATTTGACATCTTGTACCGTTCGAAAGCTCCTAAAAGCGCAGATCTTGTGATCAAAACCTCTTATTCTTAGCTTGATTGTAAATAACTCAAAAACCACTAATTAAATAAAAACAGTCAGTTTAAAACCTTGTAAAATATTATATTATATGATGTTCAATGTTCCATTTTCTGCGGACGAAAATGATAAACCTCTTAGACTGTACTATTATATGAGTTATTGGTTGAATAGATCGGAGTACTTAAATTGTTATATCATTCACAGAATGAAAACCATGTATATCAGTCAAAAAATAATAGTAAAGATTTTAACATATATTATGTCATATTATATCGTTATACGAGGTTTTAAGCTATCACCCACAATATAATATAAATATTTATTATTTTCAGAATGAATTAAAGGGACGTAAAAATCAAATAGAAAGAGTTTACTGTGGTCATTTATTTCATAATGGTTGTCTAGATAAATATATGAAGACCCCTCCGTTTGTGGGTATGTACTATAAATTCATGATTTTCTCTTTGTAAAGATTGCTTTCACGATGGGTTTTTAACTTTTTGTCTGTAATGGAAGGATGTTTGTTTGCATAGAGGTATTTCTATGAATCATTTAAGGAGGGGCCAAGTAGGGGTCACAGGATTATCACAGGGGGCTTTAAAGCATTTCTATTCCTATATTAAATTAAGATAAATATTTTTTGGGGGAAGGGGGTTGGGGCAACCTGAGTCCTGGGGACGCTTAGAAATGCCACTTGGTTACACATAGCCCACTAGATATCAGCTATAATAGATATCATCACAGTTGAAAGAGGATTGGATGGCAGAAATTGTTATGCTTTTTAAACAATTACCAAGTGGCTTCAGTCAAGTACCAGCTGGTTAACAGGATACTGGAGAACCTAAGTTGTTATCCTTGTAAAATCAATGCCGAGAGGTTTGACCAGAGACCAGCTGGTAGACAAGATCCTCAAGCAACTAAGTTGTTATCCTTGTAAAATATAGTTGTTTCTTTATTTTTTATTTTGAATAGTTAGTATTTATAATGGTATATTTGTTACAGATAAAAATTTAATCAAAATATTGTAATTAATATTTCAGGAGGTAAAAAATGTCCAGCCTGTGATAAAAAGATTTACCATGAAAAATGGCGGGTGTCTGCGGAGGTGATGGAAAATCGCTGGGCTCATAAACAGGCTAAACAACGCGAGTTGGAGGAGGTCAAGGACTTTATGAACGATTAACTTCAATGACAACCTTGTAATAAGTGATATAACCAATTAAATGATGGGACTGTGATTCATTTTATCCAAATAGCTTTGTATTAGGCTGTGAATTTAACCAATCAAATTTATCTTTGGCTGTTTTTCATTCATGTGTTCATATTTATAAAACAAACCGTATGTAGAACTAGAAGTATGTTGTTTGGTGGGTTCGAAATTCACACAATATCATGATAATTTATGACTTAAAGTTGTCCTAAAGTGAAACACGGTTGACGTTAAAAAAAAAAACTGATGGGAAAGTTGAAATATTATCTGATATAAAAAGGAAGGTATAAGAATACAAGTCATTGAAATATTTAATTGTATTGAAACAGAGTTTATTTCTTAAATGATATATTTACTTGTTGTGTTTTTTTAACTGTAAACTTAAAATTTCTTGTATGAGGTTTTATAACAGATACTCTCTTATAGAAGCACTGGCCTAGGTTTTCTGTGAAAAACTTACTGCCAGACGAGGTTTATATCAATTGTATATTTTCTTGTTTGTGGTCAGTTTACTGTTTTATCCTACATTTTACTATCAGTTGACTCTTTCTTTAAAATTTGAAGTACCCTAAGGAGTAAAGAGGAGAGAAAATAGCATTGATCCACTCATATAATCAGTAATTTGAAATGATATAATATAACAATGAATGATATTTTAATTGTAAAAAACACTGTATTATATATATATCTCTATTCTTCACAATATATTTATGTCAAATTTTTAATTTTTAAGTCTTTCTGATCAAACTTCTGACATTATACAAGCTTCACAACTTACTGAAGTTTAAAGGTATCAGACGCCAGTAACGATAGTGACGTCGTACACGCCGCGTGACAATAGTGACGTCGTACACGCTCCGTGACGATAGTGACGTCGTACACGCCCCTTGACGATAGTCAAGTCGCACATGCCTCGTGACAATAGTCACGTTGTCCATGCCTCGTGAAATTAGTGACGTCATACATATCTAGTGACGTCTTACATGCCTCGTAACGATGCTGACGTACAGGCCTCATGGCGATAGTGGAGTTGTGCACTCCTCGTGAAGTTCGTGACGTCACCCCGGTTCAATGAGCAAGGTGACATCATGTAACCCTCTTGAAGCTATTTATATTCCCTTTATGAAATGGACTATAACATAAGCGTCTTCTGGAAGCAGACGTACTTGTCGTCCACAACGAAGTACGATTTTCGATCTGGTGTAAGGAGTGGGGGTATCGTAGCCTACAGTACAAAATAAAAGCGGATACACGAGGTATGGATCGGTATGGCTTCTTCTATTTTCGGACAGGACACAATACCTGGTTTATCCCACATTTATCTTTCCCGGATGATCTGTACCTATTTACAGCTGGGTGGATAGGAATTTTGAGTAAAGCGATGAATTACTCAAGGTCGAGAATTGAACCCACGGCCTCCATTTGATGGACGTAACCAAGCAAATGACGTCATGACTGAATAGAAGCAACACGGCAACTAGCAATACATGTAGGCCTATATGAGCTAAATACAGAATGAAAATCTTTAAATCCACGGTCCCCCGATCATCAAGATGTGCCACTGACTTTTAACTCAATCGTCGATAAATCGAATTTTACCAATTAGTTTTATGTGAATGAGAATATCATTAAGTTTCTAACTGGTAACAGTTAAACAAGAAAACTCGCCCTCATCTTTTATAAAAAATATCAAAAGTCGTTTGTTTGCGGATATTTTAAATCACGAAGTTAACCTCCGAGACAATAGAATTTAGTAGCAGTTGATAGACAGACAACATTACACCAATTTAAACCATAGTTTTGAAGGTCAAATGAAGGTCACCAGATAAACAGTATCTAATTAAGATAAGTTGATGCTAAACAATTAGAAATTTTAATTAGATGACGATCTGTACCAGGTTCTGTTTCAGTCCACATACAACCAACATACAGGTACGTTCTGTTTTATATACTCGTCAAATATCTACTTTATGGTTTTACTGGGGAACCATAGCCGAGACGCAAGACACATTGGAAGACAGAAATTAAGTTTGTTTTTTCTTGTAAGTGTTTAACATTATAAGGTACGAACAGGGGTAGACTGAGCGGTTGTGAAGGTATTGATAAATAGCCCAATTCGCACTAGGAAATTGAGTAGGCCTATAGGTAGGGAAGCTTCCCAGTTCGCCAAATCAATGCAACCAGACGAGGTAAGGTGTTCGGTTTGGTGTGAACAGTGGCGGAGCCAGGTTTACGCCCGAGGGGGCGAAATACCTGAAGTTGCCCGAATTTCTAACCAAGTTACGATATTTTTGCCCACTTTTTGCACACTCCGCCACCGATACAGTGGAAAATAAAAGAAGCGATTCATAAATGAGGATTTCGAGGAACTCTGATAAATCATCTGTATGGCTAATTAGATAAGATTTATTGTGTATACGCCTCTTGTGGGCAACATACAAATATAAAAACAATAATTTAAAAAGATTGTATGAAGATAAGAGTTATAAGGTTGAATTCAACTCTCAAGTAATTGAGTTGTGAGTTATGTTCAGACTCGTGACCAATTTCATCAATCGCAACCATAGTAACTGGTAATCACTATATTGTGAGGGCACTTTAAGTAAAAGTGTTTATTAAAAACAAGGCAAAGATTTCATGATTTGGTATATTAATTTGATTTGATAAAAACTCAAAAAAGTGGTTTTTTTTTCTCGTTTATCATCGAGTAAGTTGAGTACATTTCCTTCTAATACGACAGCTCTCACCGGAACTTCGTTATTCGCTCCGAGGCAATTTAAATCCCGGATCCTTCACTGTTGTGTGTTAAACGTCCACCGCACTGCATCGTTTCACTATAACCATCAGTGGTGCCAGTGGGTGTAACCCGAGTCTTGGGAGGCTTTACAGAAACTGCTGGGATTCGTGCTGCCAATTTCAGACAAAACAACAAAGGCATAGTGGAAACTTCCAACCAGATGCAATGTGATATGGACATATATCGGGTGTCTCAAAAAACGTCCCAAAGTTCGGCGGGAAGTATTTATGCTTTTGATCTCTTTCAAAATTCTTACAGATATACTTTAAGATGTCGTTATCTAACCCTGAAAGTCATTGAATAAAATTTGTACAAGTACTGCCGGAAACAAATAACATGTCAAAAAATGCAATATCAAAATGAAGTGCGTCTATACCCTATTATAGCGCGACGGAGAAAAACCAAGTTATAAATCAAAATAATTCAAAAAATTTTCTAAACACGTTTCATTTAATGTGTTCTTTAAGCGATAAAAAAAATTCCAAAACTATTTTAAGTTTAAGAAAACTGTAAACAAGTTTTGTCAGCTGTGAATGTAATTTTATAAAATATTGGTCATATCACTTAGTTCCGTTTGGAGTCCACCCGGATGTTTCTGGGGGTATTTAAATAACTTCAAGTCGTCATAATACTTTACTTTAATTTCAGAAACTAAATGAAAATGTTGTGGATTTTCTTACTCCTTGGTTTAACATGTCAGAGTTGGGCCAGAAAGTAAGTTTTGTTATTTTTCATTTACATTGTAACATCTATGACTATACGAAAGCATTAGTACCTTCTTTTTGGCCGAATGTTTTGATAGGGGAATTGCTTCGCTTTACTAGGGATCCGCGTTGGCTCTGTGAGTTAGACGCTTGCTCGCTATCCTGAAGGTCCAGGGTTCAATCCCGACTATGGTAGAGATAATACCTTCGGATTTTTTAACCCAGTTCCCCCGGTCAGTGATGCATTTAAGAGGGGCTGACATGGAAAAGGCGTCTAGTCGTTCAGATGTACACGTTAAAAATCCCTCGACAGTTGGAAATCGGAAAAGAGGAGGGTTAATGCCACTGTCCTGGCAGAAATTCCCTCAATGCACCCTGCATGGGGTTGTCCGTCTTCATTAGCCCACATGGTGCAGAAAAGTAGGACGTAAAACTCCATTCATTCCCTTACACTTTACTAGTCTCCTTAGAGAGGCACGCGGTTTTTCTGAATAATGAGCACCAACCACCGACATGCTTTTGAGTAGAGTTAAAGGGATTGTTATAAGCACTATTTATCTGGGACACTGATAGCATCAATTTACACCATTGCACCATCCGGTGTCTGTGGTTTTTTAAATTCCACTAAAAGTAAAAGCTTTATGACGTCACATATGGTTCAGCATTTTATGATTTCAGGAATCGGTTATCTAAATATTGGAATGTTGAAAATTGATGCCATCAGTGTCCACAATACACGTAAAATGTTTACAAAACCTATTTATACAATCCCTGTAAACTGAGAACATTTAAAATTACAACGACCTGATTTATACTTCCTTATATTATTCCACACACATTTCAGTACCTATTTTATCACGACACCGTCCAAAATTTACCAAGGTGAGGATTTCTCTGTGGGGGTGCATATTCTAGACCCCACCCCCACCCTGACTAGAGTTAGAGCCCAGTTGGTCGAGGTGCTGAGAAACGGAACAAAGACTTCCAGGAATACTAAAAGCAGCAGATCCGGTGACTTTAAAAAAGGTAAATGTTCTTAAGAATTTCTTTTGTTGAAATTTAGAGACGAGCTCGTTAAGAGTAATTCATGAGTCAGAAATAAATAAATTGATATAACTAAACAATACAATAACATTAGGAGGCTGAGAGTATATAGTTAACAGAAAACACAAGGGATATATTATAGTATAACACTCTTCTATAATAACAAAGTATATAACATTTCAACACAATTTACACGTGTTGTCATCTGATGAAATGATGAGAGTGTAAACAAGATAATATATAGCAAAATTATGACACGTGTAAATTGTGTTGAAACGATATGTATTTGTTATTAAAGAAGTGTGTTATACCATAATATATTCTCTTGTGTTTTTGCTATATATACTCTCAGCTTCTAATCTTATAAATGAATGGAGTTTTACGTCCTGCTCTTCTGCATATTATTGAGCCAATGAAATCACTATGGTTGGAGAGTAGTAAGTAGTTGGTCAAGTTTTTATTTTTATTTTCAGGTACACCAGGTAGTCTGACACTCAAGGTAAGGCTCATCTAGCCCAATCAACATTGGTCAGTGTCGATTCTCTAAAACATTAACCGAGGGTGGGTGGGAAGAGAGAGTAGGGACAACAAAAAGGTCATGTCGTACCTCATAGGAAATTCTTTCCGTATGATAAGGAGTTATAAAGAAAGGGGGGGGGGGGGGGGCACGGCCAATTCCCGATTGAGTGAATTTTTGAAACCAACCCCTCCCCCCAATCCCCAGCCCCGCCCTTTCGGAGATAGTATTAAATGAGTTGATCGTGTATCTGGAGTAGATCAATACAATACCTAGAGTTGTGACCAAAAACCAGCTGGTAAACAGGATCCTAAACTAGGCCTATATAGTTATCCTTGTAAAAAAAAGTTGTTTCCTTCTTTCATTTGAAAACATGTAGCAACTTGCCTTTTTCAGCTTCCTTCAAAAACTATTTTGACGTCACAATATGTACTGAAAGTTCCCGGCAAACAAGGAGTGGTGTTTGAAAATGAAAAATACCTGAGCGTTTCCCGCCAAAAAATGACGACGTTGATTCAAACGGACAAGGCCATGTATAAAGGGAGACAAACAGGTAAGATTTTATAAACATCTCAACATGTGAATCATATGTTCGTGGCCGTAACCAGGAATTTTTTGGCGAGGGGTCACGTGGCAGGTGCGCTTCAGACGTTAACCCCTTTACTGTACACATAAAAAAGGGGATGTATTTAGCGGATATCATATTTATATTTTATAAACAAAATCTCTCATTTCCCTTGTCTCTAACTTGGCAAAGATCTATATGCATGACTTTGCATTATATTATTTCGTTTTATTTTTTTGTGTGGGCTACTGTATTTTTGAGTCATGAAACTGAATGGTGTTACCTAGTCCGAAACATCTGCCTCTATTCCAGCTTCTGATCGATATTTTTATAGTTGTCAGCTGGAATAGAGTCACAAGAAAAACACCCTTTTAAATGGGGATTTTCCACACCTCCAAAGATCTAACATAATATTGAATTATCTCCGAATGATTGTAAATTAGTGTTGGACATCACCGTAATTCCGTTTTGTGACTCGGTGACCTTTCAACTTTTGGCTGCGCACGCAGTTTTAAATGGCCTCGGCTAGATCAGTTTCGCCAAAAAAAACTTTGATGGAACCGACATAAATGGTGTAGGGATAAAATGATGGTATGACTGAACTACAAAAATATTCCAGAAAGACCTGGGTTTTGCAGATCTCGGGTTTATATAGGTTTAAAACCCCCGCATATGTGTAATGTCCTCATTTAACAGTGCTTATTTTTTCTGTCTCTACACCAGCTGACATCTAGGTTCATATTTTTCAGTGAATTTCCGGGTGGTGACGATTTATCCTAATTTAAAACCGTTTAAAGGAGAAGTGGATGTCGATATTACGGTATGGAAACATTTTGTTTGCACGAAATATTTCGACATCTGTCTTGTGCAATCTTTCAATGGAGTATTTTTTATTGGATTGGGGTGGGGGCGCTCCGTTCTTTAGTGGGGCATTCCCCCCGTTGCCACCCTTGCCAGGCCCGAAACACTATGTTATAGAATAAACTTGTAGTACATCTGGATTAACGTTTGTAAACGTAGTATGTAATATATTCAGAAGTAGAATTATCCGCGTTTGAATATTAAAATGACGACTCGTCAATTTAAGATAATCTGTAAAGACATATATAGAAATAGTGTGTAAAATTCATAGTTTGAAGTATTTTTAAAGGAATTTTTGTACATTTCTAGCATTTCTGAAGACTATTTACATATATTCAAGATTAAAATCACCACCCCCCCCCCCCCCCACCCCCCAAAATGGCACACATGTCCCTTTATAGCTAACTTTGTGGTTATTATACATTTCTGTTATTTCAGGACGATAAAGGTAATAGAATGAAACAGTGGAAGGGAAGGTCCTCATCAACTGGTGTCATTCTAGAGAGACTACATCTTAGTGAGGAACCCAGAACGGGAACCTGGTTTATAAAAGTTCGAATCCCCAGTCTTGTAAGTTGTGTTAATCATATTCTTAGGCGTAGGGTAGGAGCCGAATTAAATGAGAAAGGGGACTTGATTTATTACAGTTCGAATCACCAGTCTTTTGTAAATATAACATTCTTCATATTCATAGACGTAAGGTATAGGGGCGTAAAATAACGAGGACGGGAACATCGTTCATTACAGTTCGAATCCCTGGTAAGTGTACCAAGATTGTAGAAGATACATCTGGAATCTGAACATTAAGGAGTTGGAATTCCTAATTTTTAACGCCATAACTTTACGTTAAAGGTTACTTTACCTTTCAAAGTTTGTTATGGAAGCTGTTAGAAAACTACTGTACGGATTTGAGTAAAATAAACGCCTAATAGTAGAGAAATAATCTCCTATGTTTTTCTAAATATTTCAACTACATGTAACGAGTCGTTATAAAGCCAATCGCCGAATCTAGGTCAAACTGCTTAATTAACAATTAGTACTCTCAGTTTTTAATTTTCCCTTTTAAAATAAATTCAGTTTGATCAAGAATATATATAGATATAAATAGCATACTTTAGAAATATTTTCAGGTATAATTTACGACGTTTGATAATGAAAATGAAATGAGGATGCCCCTTTTAGTGGAATTGCAGGAACCACAGACGTCTGATTGAAAGTTTGAATGGTGCAAATTGATGGCATCAGTGTACCCGTAACATGAAATAAAATACATAAAATTTATAGAAAACCTCTTCACAATCCCTTTAAGTAGTCTTTCAATCAACTATTTTGTATTACAGAGTGGCTACAGTAAACAACAATCATTTCTTGTTCAACATTATGGTGAGTAAAGTTCGAATTTTCTTTTGTTCAGTGAACAATAAAGTAAAAAGGATATTGATATCAAGAACGACCACGTGATAGGAACGGTATCGTGTTGTGAATTAGGAGCTATGGTTTCAAAAATCCATCAAAAATATATCGGAGCCCTGACTGTGAAGGTATTTCATAATTTCCAAAGATGAGTATAAAATGACCATGTTGAGTTCGTTTCATTTTATTTGGGGTGGTGGTGGTTCATACTTCTTATGACGAGTTCCTTTCAAGTTTTTTTTAAGGGAGGAGGGGGGGGGGGGGGGGGGCAATACCTCATGGTACCCAAAATCTACCCCCTGTTTGACCTATATACTCTCTGCTTGACTTACATTTTAAACTTTTATTTAATTTTCAGAATTACCTAAATTTGAAGTTAAAGTTGAGTTACCTCCCTTTGGACTACATTCAGACACAGAAATTCATGGTACTGTGAAAGCAACGTAAGTAGGATTGAGATGGCAATTTTTGGACATTTGTGCATAAAGTGAATCATGTTCACATCGTTTCCTACCATGCCATAGGCTGTGTATTCGCTTCCTCTATTTTCTACCGTATAGATAATCCCGCACCGTTCACTGCGCCAGACACAGTACCTCCTCTTCACAGCTTCATAAGAAGGTAACTGAAGTGCCGAACAAAGTAAAATTAGAAAAGGAAGAAAGTAGGAAAATAGAATCTGAAATTTGGTTGATGTTCATTTTTATACGCCCACACATAAGTATGGGCGTATATTGTAGTTGCCCCTGTCGTCCGTTCACATTTACCTCGTGCTCACTCTACAGACTACAATTCTCTATTGATTCTTTTGATCTTTTGTATGTGTGTCAATATCATTATGAAGATGTGCACTATTGAATTTGGTGAGGATCCGATGATTTTCTTGAGAGATATCGTATAAAACTCTGATATCACTTTTTTTTCACTTTTTTGGCTCATGCTAACTCTACAGGCTACGAAATAGAGTTTGTTTTACAGTTCACATTTAGCTCTTTATCAAGCTGCTGGTGGGCGTATTCCTGACTTGCATATTTTCTTAACTTTTTTAGATATACATTTGGCAAGCCTGTCGAAGGTCATTTGGATCTGAGAGCCTATGCTGGAGTAATCAGGGACTCGTGTGGTATGGAAGCCAAGTCCGTGCAACAAGTTTCAAAGGTAATGGAAAGTGTTTTAGAGGCGTCATAATTGTTGAATTGAAGATATACCGTTGAGCTAATAGCTAACGCCAGAAAGTGGGCAAGGAGGTTTTTTTGCCAAACAGCAACAATAGCCTATTATTCGCCAGCCAAATCAACAGATTTTGTCTTGTTCTTTCAGATCAATGGCGAAGAGAAATTTATATTTTCTGTGGCCGACATCAAGAAATCGAGAAGTTATTGGAATAATTTGTCTAATGTCCAGATTGTAGCCCGAGTAACTGAGAAGGTGACTGGTAAAACGCTGAACGGAACGGGAGAGATAAGTATCTACCAGTCTAAATATAAAGTCGATTTTCTCCCTATTACACCATCAACATTTAAACCCGGACTACCCTACACTGCTTATGTAAGTTTCTTTAAACAGTATTACTCTACTTTTAGTTTTGCTATCCCACAATTCCTTATTTTATCAAGAAATGGGTTCTACATGGCACGTTTTTATTGATTAAAAATATTACTACCTACTATACTTTCATTTTGCTGACTAAACCGGAACTGCCCTACATTGCTTGTATAAGCTTATAGATATGTTGTTTTAAAGGATATTACCGTCTTGATATTTGCTAAAAGAAGTTTATTTCAGCTATCTATATAATATTTGTTTAAATATTTACTTCACCAGCTGACAGCTGACAATTTAAGCTATTTGTATAGTAGTCGAAATATTTTCTATACTAGCCTAGGGTAGGACCTAGGGTAAGAACTATGGTAAGACCTAAAGTAAGACCTAGGTTAAGGCCTAGGGTAAGACCTAGGTTAAGGCCTAGGGTAAGGCCTAGGGTAAGGCCTAGGGTATAGCCTAGAAATTAATGTATAATGGTCGTCTCAATATCTACTCTACCAGCTGATAGAGCTCAATTTAAGCTATCTGTATAGTCGTCTAAATATTTACTATACCAGCTGATAGAGCTCAATTTCAGCTGTCTGTATAGTCATCTAAATATTTACTATACCAGTTGATAGAGCTCAATTTCGGCTATCTGTATAGTCATCTAAATATTTACTTTACCAGCTGATAGAGCTCAATTTCAGCTATCTGTATAGTCATCTAAATATTTACTATACCAGCTGATAGAGCTCAATTTCAGCTATGTAAATATTTATTTTACCAGCTTTTAAGACTCATTTTCAGCTATTGGTACAATCCCTTTAAGACGTGTCTTGAATATGTCCACTGAATTTGTATCATTAAAAGTACCCGCCATGTTTCTTGAAGGCCCCAACATTGATATGGTTTAATTGGATTTTTGCTTTCGCAGGTTAAAGTCACAACACAAGATGGCGTCCCGGTCACAGCACAGACATCACGTGATAAAATAGAAGTGTACACATGCGCAGACTTCACCAGACAAGATCCAGACCAAAATAAATATGCCTGTCACCAATTCCAGGGCACCTACGCTCTACCCAAACAATCGCTGAGCCCCACTCCCTCGGGAATCGCCAAAGTTGACATCGGCGAGATTCCTGTCAATACCACCAGCATTAAAATGAAGGTACGATTTTAAAATCAAGCGCATATTAATTTAAAAGTTTTTTTTTATCATATGATCATCTTATTCAATTCTTATTCTTGAAAAGGTCCATGATAACAACGTTCACACACATTAATGCACACAAAATCTATAGAAAAAAGTCGTGGCATATTAAAGGGAAATAATCGCCTTTTGGGGTGGGGGTCGATTTAACACTTAGAAAATGGTTAGTACCCCAACTTCATTTCTGGAAAATTTAGATATATGGTTTTTACACGTCTTCCCCAAAACATGTATCAGAATACGCCATATGGATTCCATTTTTCAAAAATTTTCTTGGGTTAAACCCTCTAAGACGCACCACGGGATTCATGCGTCAATTGCGCGTCCACAAAAGTACTGCATTTTGAATCTCAACCTCGACTGTTGCTCCACCTATTTGTACCCCAGTCTCTGGTTGCTAGCGCCGCCACTGTCGATAAGGCATAGTATTTACCGATGTCCTTCAAAGAATACATCTTGAATTCATGGCAAATGCTTTGTTCGGATTATCCTCTCATATATCTATATATTCGACTCACTAAGGTTCTTATTCTCAAATGTGTTCTTAGGATTAAAAAAAATCGCTTTAAAGGGACAGGTGCGTCCATTGGGGGTGGGGGTGATTTGAGTCTTGAATACATGTGAGCAGTCATCAGAAGTACTAGAAATGTATGAAAATCACATAATTCCTTTAAAAATTTCTCAAACTAGGAATTTCTTTTCTTTTTTCTATAGATATCTTTTCTATATATGGCAATGTCTCAAGAAAAGACACCCGTCTTTTTTAACTTTCAAACGCGGATAATTCTTGACACTCGTGGGTTTAAAGGCTAAAATTTCGACGGTGAGCTGTGAACACTATTTCTGATTGGCTTCGCTAAAATAATTCCCATTTT